TAATGCTAAAGTATTTTAACAATTAAAATTTAAGATCAGGTGTAATATACAGATTAGTTTTGTATAGTAAAAATAAAGAATTTTTAAAAAATTAAAATTTTGCCTAAAAAACTATTTTTAAGTTTTAATAAAAAAAACTTTTTATTAAATTTTATTATCAAAACTGCTTAACTCTTATTTTAATATTGAAGAGTTTAATTTTTTAATAAAAGATATTTTGATTTATATATTATATTAATTTTGTTTATTATATAGTTGATTTATAGTATAAGTAGATAAAATAAATTATTATAAGATTATTATATATAAAAATAATCATTTAAGCAAATTTGAGAATAATTAGAGTTAGGATGAGAGTTATAGTTTAATTGATGATTCTCCAGTTAACTGGTGCGTGATCTTAGTAAAATGTAACTCAGATTACTATATAAATTTACTATGGTACGAATGTGGTGTTCACCCAAGGTAAACTTTTTTTCATACTAAGTTAATCATATTTTTTGCTTAAAAGACTTTTGTAAAGCTTGTTAAAATGCATCTAATAATGGTTAGAGCATCAAAATCAGCCTGGTGAGTACTGAGATATCTTTAAAAAACCTCTCTTTTACTATATAAATTTCTTTGCAAACAATACTACTACACTACTATTGTTTGCAAAGAAATTTACATAGTATCTCAGTACTCACCAGGCTGATTTTGATGCTCTAACCAAAGAAAGATGATTAACTCAGTATGAAAAAGTTTACCTTAGGTGAACGCCATATTCGTACCATAGTAAATTTATATAGTAATATTTTACTAAAATCACACACTAGTTGACTGGAGAATCATCAATTAAGTTTTATAGTTCTAATATTGACAAAGTCAATAAATATTTAATATTGCAAGAAATCTTTAAAGATTAAAATGCTTTTACTTAGTAAAAAGAAAATAATAAAATTTTTATTTTTTCTTAATTAGCAAGAAAGTATCTTATTGTGCAAGCAAATTCAGCTACTTGTTAAAGACTTATTAATAATAGCAATATCATAATAGCTAAAAAAATTTGTTTAAAACTAAAAGTATTTAAAAGTTTAATTTTCTTTAAAAAAATAATCTAGCAGTAGGTAGAATATTTAACTATAGTAGTTATAAATATATATATTTTTTAATTTGGCAGTCTTGCCAATACTATTTATTAGTATACTCTTAGATATGTTAGTTTTAAATATATAGATACAATTTTAACTATCTAATATTATTACAACTATTAACTTATCTGGTTACTAAATTAGTACTTATATGTGATCTGCTATATGATATTTTATCTTTTTATTAACTATCTAGTATTAAATTACTAGATAGTTTCCAAATATATTTTTATTATATATATTTTGCTTATATACTTCTATACAATATCCACCAACTAACTTCTACTTTTTATTACTTATTACATTACTTCTAATTTGTTTTTGTATAACTTTCAAATTAGTATCTTTTTAAGTAAGTACTCTTTGTATTTCCAGTTTGGTGCTCTAAAAGAACTACTTTAAGAACCTAATCTGTATCTTAACTAGGTGCTGCTATATAATTATAAGACCTTTATTTCAAGCTACCTGCTGCCATATTAGGATATTATTTTATGTCAATCTAAGTATTCAGATTATACACCACCAAATTAGACTATCACTTCTTTTATAATACTCTCTATTAGTATAGTGTTACAGAAGTCTAGATTCTTAGAATAGAAGTTAAGTACCTTATTTAATTACTGTCACAAGCCAGTAATTTGAAATCTATGCTTTCGCTATATTTTATTATAAACTTTCATAGGTTGTATATCAGAATTCTGAAACACAAAATCCCAACACACAAAATCCTGACAACAAAATCCCAATATACAATTATGAAAGATGTGGAACTTTAATAACTTTATTAAAGCTAAAGGTCTTATATACATTTTAGAAAATTACAACACTTTCGTGGAATTTCTAGCATTCTCGCTAAATTTTCTACAAAATCTTTAAAACTTAACATGCTTGTTGTTTTAATTATACATCTGCTGTTGTGACCACATCCTTGTGGTATTTACCATGCCGTTACTATACATTTGATTTTTACACGTCCAAGCCCCAAACTACTTCCATTTTAGTATAACTAATTAAGATGTTTAAATTAATAATGCATGTGGGTATTGTTATCAAAATAGAATTGGTGGGGTAAGATATTTATGTATGCAAAATAGTACTAATAACCCAAAATAAATAAAATAATAAAATAAAATAAAATAAAATTGAACATGGGATAGAGTTTTGTATACAGTAATGAATGCAATTCGTCACAGTATTAGAATTATCATTTTTTTTTTTATAAATTATAATAAAAATTATGTTATGTAACTTATTTGCTATTCTAGTGACTATAATGTATGGTTAAGCTTGAGTTAGTTCGCATAGAGTTTGTTGTAATATCTATCTGTTACTATAAAATGTTATGTTACAAAATTTACTTGTTATTATGATAATTACAATAAGTGCTTAGAGTGTGTTAGTTTGCATTGAAATTATTATGGTTTATTCGTGAATTACTGAAAAACCCTGTTACAGGGCTTACTATTCTGGTTCAATGAAGTTTGCATTAGAATTATTATGATTTCTATCATAGGATACTTAACAAAATTCTGTTATAGAACATAATTTCTATTCCAATAATCATGATAAATGTTTAAGGTGAGTTAGTTTGCATTAAATTAATGTGATTTGTTTATAAGCTACTAAAAAAATTCTGTTATAGGATTTGCTTGCTATTTCTATTGCAAGCTACTGCAAACAAAATTCTGTTACAGAACTTACTTGCTATGCTGGTGACTATAATATGCGATTAAGTTTGATTTAGTTTGCATTGAAAAATTCTGTTACAGAACTTACTCACTATTTTAATAACCACAATATGCGGTTAAGGTGAAGAATTATCACAATTTCTATTGCGAATATTGCTGTGAAAAATTCGGTGCTGCTCACTTCACCGACAATCATTTCACCGAAAGTTCATTTAGTTAACATCACATAGGGTCAAGGTTAGCGTTTTATTATTTGCAGGCACATATTTTTAGTAAATTGTCACTTGGCGCGATGTCGGGCTAAGTGAGCTGTCTGTGAAATGATTGTTGAAGTAAGGCGTATCCAAAAAATTCTGTTACAGAATTTACTCACTATTTTGACAAGTTAGCTTGCATTGGAATTATTACGATTTCTATTATTAGTTACTGTTCAATGATTTCTATTGTTAATACTATAAAATTCTGTTGACACACGGCATGTGATTCACTAATGCATGTTATTAACGTTATATATATCTCAGTTAATAAGATCAAAGATATGTAAAATGCATAAAGTGCGAAATTGGTTTTTAAAAGTCATAAATAGATAATTGAGTTTCGATTTTTTTTATAAGTAGGAGGCTGTAAATTCATAGTTAAGACGTAAGTTTGGACGTTTTTGTACCCTGATTCGTATTGTTTTGATTTTCATGATATACTGTAATATATTTTTACTATAAAGTTTGGCATATATTTAGTAAGCATTCTTTTAAGAATTCATATGGAAACAGATATAGTCGGGAATGATCTGAGAGCAAATAGCAATTATTAATTAAAACTAAGCATGTATTTTTAGTACGTACTTCAAAATAAAGTTTCATAGCATTGCGCTTAAAAATTTTTATAAACACAACTCGAATTCGATAAATTTTTTGAGGGAGCGTATGCGCGGATAGATCTGAGCTGCTCAGATAGCGCAATACAATAAAATAAAAATCTTTGCTGAAATCTTTTCGGGTTTAATCAAAAAGGAAATGTGGCGGGTCACGAGCAATATTCGAACCAATGAGTCGGTTGGCCCAACCACCAATTTTAAAGGCAATAATCTCCAAAGATTGAAGAGGGTTAAATCGGTCTTTGTACTAAAAATAAAGTTGTTACGTATTAAGACGATTTGCATATAATCTGAAAATTTAGAAAACTTCAATATTTTTTTTTTTTTTTTGGTATTTTAGACCTTTATAAACAAAAAATAAAAAAAAATAAAAAAAAACCGATAAAACTTTTATATAGCAACGCATTTTTAAACCCTCTGAAATTTTTTTATGAAAATTTAAGCCCAAATGCAGAATAATAATTTTAATTAAGACCTTAACTAATGTCAACAATATGGTTTTCTAGATCTGTTGTGTTTAATTAAAATTTTCAATTTAAGAAAAATCGCATTTTGATATTTTAAAATTTTACATAATGAATCATATAGAAATATACATATATCATGTTATATTATGCAACATAAAATTTATTTTATTAGACAATTCTAATAATGTTATATTAGAAAAAAATTTTAAGATATTAAAAGTGATTTTTTTTTAGCAGAAAGCTTTAATTAGTGCTCGGCACAATCAAACAAAGGTTGACAATCAAATAATTGTGACTAAATCGGACATCAAACGATCGCAGGTTAACCAAACCTGAATATATAGTATTGGTTGACCTGTGATCATTTGATGCTCGACTTAATCACAAGTATTTGACTGTCAAATTTTTGTTTAATTTTGCCGAGCAATAGTTTTAATTAAATATATACAATAATTCTAAAAATCGCATCGTTAACATTAGCTTAGGTCTTAATTAAAATTTTTCTGAGTTTGGATGTATATAGGATTAAATTTTCATCAAACAATTTTGAAAGCGTTGTTATAAAAAATTGATTTGCATATAAAAAATAGGGTTTTTATATATGGCTATGATCATCAACAAATAGCCGATCTTGAATGAATGCGCTTTCATAACTTTCATACAAAATTAATAACTCCAATTATTCATTACACTCAAATCATAACAGAAAATAGTGTACGTACATACAAAAAATTAGTGCCAACTCTAGAGTTTAACAAACATGCAAGCAGAGATCTGGAATCAATATCAATATCTATATATAAATGGCTTTATTTAAACAGATTCCAACAAATTATAAAAAATGATCTTTAAATCTAAATATCCTGATATAAAAATTCCTGAAGTTGGAGTTTATCAATATGTGACTAGTAATCCGAAAAAAATTTCGGATGATAAAGTTATTTTCATTGATGGGATTACTGGTAAATGTTGCACTTTTGGAGAATTTAAACATGAATCAAAAAAGTTTGCTGCAGGATTACAAGAGAAGTTAGGATTTAAACGTGGGGATGTTTTAGCGATATTTTCTCCTAATTTGGTACTCATTAAACTCTTTCATTAATTAAATTGTTGATTCATTTTTTTAATAATATATTTTATTTGTCAAGGTTGATTATCCTATTGTACTCTTGGGAGCGATCGCAGCTGGTATTATTATGATTTTCAATAAATTAATCATGCTATTTTGTTTTTATATTCTAAATTATGTTTATGCATCTGTAGGAGGCAAAATAACAACTGCCAGTCCAATATATGAAGAAACTGAATTATCGTGTCAACTAATCGATTCAGGTGCATCGGTTCTGATCGTACATCCAATAATTCTTGAAACCGCTATTAAAGCTTCAATCGAAGCAAAAATTCCTTCCTCCAGAGTATTATTGTTTGGCGATAAAGAAATAAATGGATATAAGCCTTATCGTTCTATTTTAATCAATGACCTTGAAATTGAACCTGTCTATTATACTCCTGAAGAAGTAAAAACAACGACTGCTTATTTACCTTATAGTTCAGGAACAGTCGAAAAGCCAAAAGGAATTGAACTTACTCATAAAAATATAGTTGCTAATTTGGCTCAAGGAGCTAATGTAGATCTTACACTTGGTCCAGACAGTATAATTATGGGAATTTTAGTATGTAATCTAAAATGAATTCTTTGAAATTTTTAAATAATTATTCAGAGTAATTTTTCATTATTGTTTTAAATATATGTAGCCATTTTGCCACATTTATGGGTTAAATGGTATCATTAATGCGACCTTAATTCGTGTAAGTTATTCAATATTTGATACTATTTCATTATTAGGCTGACAGTTTAATCTAGGAATAATACATTAATTAATATTATAGGGTGCTACTGTAGTCGTACTTCCAACCTTCAGTTTAAAAACATACTGTGAAACAATTCAAAAATATAAAATCAATCATCTTTATGCTATTCCGCCAATTTTACTTAGCCTTGTCAATGATCCATCGGTTCAACAATATGATTTATCAAGTGTGAAAACAGCTTTAAGTGCGGCAGCCCCGCTAAGTGATGAATTAGCAAAAAATTTTCACGAAAAGTTTAAAATACCAGTTTGGCAAGCTTATGGTAAGAATTCTCTATTGTTAGATTGATTAACAATTTCTCACTGAGAACAATCTTACAAATAAGCATTAATTATTTTTTACTTTTATTACAAAAATCTAAAATTTAATGGTAAATTATTTATGTGATATAATAAGGTCTTACTGAAGCGTCTCCGGTAGTAACTCATTCTGACACAACGAAGAATACGGTTCCAGGTATTAGCATTTTACTACTGTATAACAAATAAATATTTCGTTGATTTACTAAAGCAACTCATTTTTGATAGGTTCTGTTGGCGTTCTTATCCCAAATGTGAAAGCCAAAATATTGTCAGAAGATGGTCGTGGTAACTATATATATATAAATATAAATATATATTCCTCATTTAAAATCAAAATAAAATTTTTCAAATTATTTTTTATTTTTAGAATTGGGATACAATGAACCTAGAGAATTGTGGATTCACGGACCAAACGTTATGAAGGTACGTACTGTACATTATATAACTATATAATTGCAGTATGCTACTTTTACTAAAAATCTTATACTTGTTAAATAGAGCTATCTTAATTATAAAGAAGCTACAGCTAATGTTTTCGACAAAGACGGGTTTTTTAACACTGGAGATGTTTTATATGTTGACGAACAAGGTATATTTATGATTGAGTAATAAAATTTATGTTTATATGCTTGTATAAATATAATTATTTATTTAATTATTATTATTATTGTTTTTTTAAATAAAGGAAACTATTTTATTATTGATCGAAAAAAAGATTTGATCAAATACCATGTACAATTATAATGTTCCCATTTTGCATGCTACTTATTATAATTTAAGTTTAATTAATACCAAAATTAAATTTACAGAATTTTTATGTGGCACCCACTGAATTGGAATCGATTCTACACAAACACAGTGCAGTAATAGATGCAGCAGTAATAGGTCATTTTTCTGAAGAAGAAAAAACTGAAGTTCCTGTAGCATATATCACAATTAAAAGTGAGTATGAGCAATCTCAAGCTTTAGCAGAAGAAATTCAACATTTTGTAAACGAAAAGGTTGCGTCGCGTAAAAAATTAAGTGGTGTAAAGTTTATTGATAAAATTCCAAAAAATGAGGCTGGTAAAACTTTAAGAAGAATATTAAAGGAGCAATTAAAGAATAGTAGAATTAATTAACAATTTCAAAGATTATTTATGAAATCATAAATTATAAAGATATTATGATGTGGGTGAGTAATTTGACTCACTTGTGTTTTTTTGACGATACACTAATCAGAATCGAAAAGTTTTAGTACCATTCGATTCGTCTTACTGAGACATCAAATATAGATTTTTTTTTGATTCTAATTGCCAAACTACAAGATATGAGTAAAAATCGATATTACTTATGTTAGTATAAGTTTCTTTTAAATTTTTATTATATATTTCCTCATATAGTGATACATAGTGCGCCATAATACCCCAAATGTAAAAACATAGCATTTTTTTTTGAGTAAATTTTGAAAATTCATATTTCAAACTTTTTTTTTGTTAAGATAATCTCTCTCATGCATATAGGTTATGTAATTATCATAAGGTTAAACAAAACCACTTTCTTGAGCATTTCCCTAAACCAATAAATGCGCCAGTAAATACAAGTAAGAAAATATTAATAAATAATAATACTTGTTAATTTTTGGACTTGTATTAGTAAGCAAATGTGTTAAACGCCCAAATTTTGACTGATATTTGTATTGAAAATAAGTACAATTTAAGTACATTCAAAATAAGATACTAAATTGGAGCACACTAATTCATCGCTACACTACAATAATATAGTATAGTTCCGAAATAAACACACTTTTTTTGTTATAGGAGGTGCTTATTTTCGGATATAATTTTAAGAATGAATAATATAGAACTTTTGTACTAAGTAAACTTACCTTCTGTTTCTAAGTAAAACTGTTCCGCCAGGTCAAGACGATTCTGACGGCAGTAAATCATAAAAAATTTGTCCAGTAGAACTTTCGCAATTCTCTTCAAAATTTGGGCGACGTTTGTTTACATTTGCTTTACAAGATCTGCATACTCGTAAACAAAAGTCGCCCGAACTTTGAAGAGCAATTGTGGGAGTTCTACTGAACCAATTTTTGATCATTTCACTGCCATTAAAATCATCTTGTCTTGTAGAATAACTTTACTTAGAGACAAAAAGTGATTTGATCTTCGAAAAGAGTACAAGTTTGAAATTTAATGTGTACACGCTGGTGTACCCGGTGCACTGCGGTTCTAGTACCGACTACAGCTGAACGTTCCGCGAACGTTCAAATTGGCCAATCTTTTTAATATTTATTTCACTAATATCTTATTATTATATTTATTATTAGTGTTTGCATTATTATCATTAGTTTAGGTTTGCTTAGTAAAAAATCAGATACGATTATACATAAGGGGTGCTTATTTTCGGATATTACATAAAATTTGATGGTGCTTAATTTCGAACTATACGGTATGTATAATTAAATCTTTGCAATATTTATAGAAACATATACGGTTTATCTTCTATTAATCTATTATATTTTATATCTTATTATACAGCACGTTATTTACTATGGCAGAACTTTATAAATAAATCAAATTCACTATAAAGGCGCGAGAATTTAAATTTTTTTGGATTAATTAATAACTTTTTTTTGATGTGTTATTTTATCCGGTTACAAAGTTCGCTGCGAAGGTTAATTATTAATCAATGATCACACTTTGCAATTTCTATTTTTTATTAAACAGGAATGTATTATGCTTTGAAGTGACCCGATTTAGATCTAATTTAGGGTTAGTGCTGGTTAGAAGTTAGGCGTCGAGAAATTATTCGGCAATTACAAATTATTTTAAATCTACAATATTTATTATTCCCGGAGAATAAATGGTATATTGTACATGTTACGAAGTTAAATCAGATAAACAATGAGAAATGAATTAAAAACAAAAAAACATAAATAATATAATGAAATAAATTTTAATCAACATCTATCTCATTTATCATTATCTTAAATAATAAATTTAACTTTTTTCACTAAACTTTTTCAATAAATTAATTGCATCTCCCCTACTTGGGCCATTATGTTTTAAAGTTAAATTTAAATATTCTAATCCTAGCTTTATATTTTTATCCATTTGAAGTTTTCCATTCACATAAATATCTCCCAAAAGATACATTGCCTCAGGATTATTATTATCTTTTGCTAACTCTAGATAATGTATAATTTTATCACGATTTTCTACTCTTTTACTTGCATCATTAAGTAATGAAACTGCATATCGATATGGTGCATCAGAAATTGCATTCTGATATTGGTCATCAGAAACTGTACCATGATATTCTTCAACGTCATTATCATCTGCAACTTCTTTGAAAAGTTTATATGCAAGTTCTTTATCTATTTTTAAATATCCATTATATAAATAATATCCTTGCCAATATTTTGCTATTGGATTACCAAGCTTAGCATTTTCTTCAAAACAACTCCATGCATTTTCATAGTCTTTCTTTTGATGAAATTTAATTCCTTCATTAAGTTCTACTTTAGGTTCATTTGCTCCCAGATCTAATTCCTTATCTTTCAAGAGTAATGGACCATCAAGAGGAATTGGGTAAGTTTCGGCCAATTTTTCAAGTTTTCTATGTAAATCCAAAAGGACTATTCGTTTTTCTGGCATGTGTTGCCATGCTATATTCATTAAATTAGGGTTAATATAAGCATCTGATGTAATATAATATAATATAATATAATATAATATAATATAATAAATATTTACGAAAATAATTTCAACTTACCTTTATCAATTATTTTAATAAAATTTTCTTGAATCTTTATATCATTAGGATTTTCGGATTTTCCGAGTAAAAGTTTTTCTCGTTTACCATTTAATACATGTTTAGATATCTTTTTAGGATCTGTATATCTTTTATAAGGAATCTTTTCATAACAAAGTTCCCAAATGAGCATTCCAAAACTAAAACGAAAGGTGACCGATTTAAGTAAATAAAAAAAATAAACATATTGTAATAAAAAAAGATTCTTGTAAAAATTACCTAAACATTTCACAACTGAATGTATATCCTTTTTCCTTAGGATTATTTTGATATTTTTCGATCTGTTCAGGTGCCATCCAACGAAACATTTCTATTTGTTTTTGGAATGAAAGAAAACTAGTATTTGCATTTGCTTTACGTGCATGTACAAAATTTCCAAGTTTTGAACTTAAGCCTTCACATATCTACTTTTAATTTATTAGTATCTTGTTTATTTTCATTAACTTTTGCATACCGTATTTTCGCGTAATAACGCTCATGAGCGTTATTTCGAATAATGGCCCGAATTAAGCTTAATTTGGGCCATATTTTGAAATTACACCCCTGCGCGTTATTACACATTAAATTTTTATTTAAATATACTTACAAAAATATTTTCACATCTGATATCATGATGTAAGATATCTAATTCACGTAAAAATACAAGACCACGACAGATATCACGAATGATTTGTATTTTTCTAGTCCAAGGAATATCATAAGAGTCATAAAGCTCTTTTAAATTTCCATACTCAGCCCAATCAAAAACCATATGTGTATGATTGTCAAATTCTGAAAGACCATAAAATTTAAGAATGCATGGTGATAAACTTAACTTTTCAAGAATTGCTAATGTGGCTTGATGTTTGTCTGAATCATCTATCGGTTTACATGCAACGGCTGCACCCATATAAAACTTTTTAATAACAGAGTTACGTTTAACACATCCTGTTAGAGGTTCAGTTAATTTGATTTTTTGTGCTTGGGCGTCAGACAGTTTATTTTTTATGATGGATATGTCTTCAGCTAATCCATCAAGTTTAGTATTTGCAATTTCGACTCCATATTCAAGTTTTTCAAGATCCTAAATTCAATAAATGAAAAAAAATTAAATTAAAAATTAAATTGTTATAAAAAAATTCTATTATTTACAGACTAATATATTTACCCCCAAAGCTTTTTCAATTCTTTTAGCTTCTTCTTCTCTTTCATTTTCATTAGTAATTGCCATAGCAAACTGTAGCTCCTTCATACAAATATCATATTCATTAATCAATTTATAAAATTGTTGCTTAACTTTACCAGCTTCAATAAATTTTCTAACACCTTCAAGTTTTGACACTTTATCAGTAAAATCTTTAATTTCCGTTAAAACTTTTACAAATTTCTTAAGAGACAAAGAATATTCTTTTTCATAAATATAACTATCATCTTTTCTCATCATTCTTTCTAGAGCATATTTTGCTGATTCTATTCGTTCTGTCATGATAGTACACATTTCTTTATTACATTCTGCATTCTCATAAATTTTATGAATTTCATCAAATAAAGTCTTCACTGCAGCAACTAAAGGAATATAGGAAGCTGCTATTTCTGCGGTAATTTTAAATGCAACAGCCGCTCCAGTCTTTATATCTTCGTTATTTGAATCTGTGGACATAATAATAATATGTTCAAATCAATCGATGAATGCATTGACAAAATCTTGCTGATGACGCTTAAAAAAAATCTACATGTTACACATAATATCTAAAAAAAGAATATTCAATACTTATACAGGTACTTACGTATGAAATATTATAAAAGGAAAACGAACCCCGGATAGCGATAGTCGCCGAAGTGGATTCTTCCGGATCTATAAAATTTAGCATATCGATATCTGCAATTTATAGTCATTATCAATATAGTCAAAAAGGTGGATATATAGTAACGAATGTGTACAGTCATTCCTCCATAAGTGCATGTCATTTGATCAGTACAATAAAAATTGATACGAAAACTCCAAAAATAATTTATTACAGTCTTAGATCAAATTGTCTTCTTCTATAAGTGCACATTTCTCCGAAAACGTGCACTTATGGATGTTGACTGTATGTTTCTAAGGGTGCTGTAGATAGGGCATAAATTATAGATAGATTATACATACTTGAAAACTTTAATGAGTAAATTAGACTTGCGAAAAATGTACTTTGTATTTAAGAATGAAACTCCATTATAATAAAGCAATCCAAGCGGAATTTCAAACTTCGAAAAATAATAAAGCAGTAGTATTATGCTCGAATATTTTCTTCATTAATAGAATCGTTATTCGAAATCATTCGTATTCATTCT